GGGGGGGGGGGGTACTCCCTTACAAGAGGCTAATGGGGATGTGCCGTTGGATGGGGTCGCATTTTCACGACTGGAGTGACTATAATGGGGTCGCATTTTCAATAGATTTACTAGAATGGGGTCGCAAATTTTTTGGATTTTTTTGAGTAAGTAGGGGATTCAAAATGGGAAGATTCTCGGTTAAAAAATCAGAAACTTGTTGTTTATAAAAAACAATAAGCTCGCATTGACCGAATTACATTCCGATGCTTGAAACCACATTGATAAGGTAGATGTATAAATAGAAAGTTGGGATCGCGACCGAGATAGGGTCTAAAATTGGCCACAAAATAGACTATAATGGGGTAGGGGCTCTGAGAGGCCAGCGGCACATACCCAGCAAACACAAACCCAAGTACCCCCTCCCCCCCCGGGTTCACAGGCTACTCTACATCGATGTGATAGGTGATGGTCTTGACTATGCTTTTAGGTACCACCCTAACTATGACCGCCTATCACTTGGCCACTCACCCAGAAATTCAAGATCGACTTATCAAAGAGATTGACGAAATAATGGATTCACGTGGGGACAGGTCCCTTTATGACGTGGTGCAGCACGCCAAGTACTTAGATCAAGTCATCTCAGAGGTCCTTCGCATCAGTGGCCCTGCGTTCTTCCTTAATCGACAATGTACCGAAGACACAACCATAAAAGGAGTGAAGTTTCCTAAGGGTGTTGACGTTGCTATACCCACGTACGTTTTGCATCGAGACCCGGAAGTCTGGGAAAACCCCGAGGAGTTCAACCCCGACAATTTTTCGCCAGAGGCAAAGCAAAACCGAAGCCCGTACTCTTACCTCCCGTTTGGAGCTGGCCCCCGTCAATGCATGGGAATGCGCCTTGCCTTGTTGGAAATAAAGCAAGGGTTATTCAAGATCTTGCAGCGATTCAAGTTTGAACGGGCTCCCGAAACCGTCACCACACTGGAGCATAGCGCTGTGTTAATTTTGACTTCCAAGAAGACTATCTACGTCAAGATAAAAGCACGCTAAGAACGATGCAGCTATTTGACGCATGGCCACATAAAGCATATGCTAATAGTGGCTTTTAGGGTTTCATATATGCTCAACATATATTATTTCTACACTCACATAACTTTGGTCTTGTAGCTAACGTTGATAGAAATAAAATTCGTTTGATCATGAAATTCCCTGCTTCTGTTTGTTTGTTTGTTTACTTGGTTTTGTTGTTGTTGTTGCTGTTTGTTTTGTTTAATTTGTTATTTTTTGTGAAGGCCTTTGTTCCATACAGATTCCTCACTGACCCGCGTTTCGACTCATGTGAGACTCCCATGTGACACACCCTTTCCGAAGCCTGTAGTTACGGCCTTTTTATTGCGGAATAGGATTGTTTGAAATAACCCTGGGTGGCTGGCGGTTTTATTGGGGAGAGGATCACGAACAAGCAGCGAAGCTACAAAAATGAGCGACGAATCCACGCATGTCTCGTTATTTCCAGCCAATTCTCCTCGCCGCTTCGTCGCTCTCGCTCCCCTCCGTTTCCCGTCCCCTCCAAAGAGAGAGGGAGAAGGCAGAATTTACATTCCACTTTTGAACAAATTAAACAACAACACCGAACCCCCTCCCTCGCATTTCTAATACAGTAATAAAAAGGAGTGACAAAACGTATCGGAGAGCTTGCCTTCCATTACCAACTTTCATTTGTTTGTAAATGCAAAAACATTAACCTACTACAGTCCGTATTTCATACCCTGCGAGCAGAGTCTCCTATTTTCTAGGAAGATGGAAGGAGACTCTGCTTGCAGGGGTAGTATTTCAAGGACGTAATCCAATACTACTATTGTCAATTCAGTCCGGTGTCCGCTTAATAGAGGTGTTTATCCGGCTATAACCTTTTTCTCTTTGCTTCTTTTCTTTTCTTTTCTTCTTCTTTTTCTTTTTCTATTCGTTTAGTTTCCATTTTAGGTATAACAGTTTTGTTATGTTTCTATATCTAGCTTCCAATTTTCAGATTTACAAATTTTCTTCTCGGCTTTACTTGCCGTTCCCCCGAAGTCCTTCGCGAGGTCCTGCGATTTACGTATTTCTAGTAAAGGGAAATATCAGACGTTCGTTTCGGGACCCAGCTTATTGTCCGCTTAATAGAGGGTGTCCGCTTAATTGGGGGTCCGCTTAATAGAGGTTTCACTGTACCAGGTTCATATTTGTCACGCGTACTGCATACCGCAAGGATCAGCAATGTCTATGTCGCACAAAGGGGGGAATTTCATATATCCCATGATGCATCGCTTCGTACTGTATTATCAAGCTTCCGAATGCACGTGAACCTATCAGTTTAAATGGGACGCGTCAATTGAACAATTAATAACAGTGAAAAGTGACGTGTTTAGCCTGCGTGGCAGGCGTTTGAAAGGGAAGGGGAAGGGAAAATGTATTGTTTTACAGAATCATTGCTTTCGCGTAGAGTTCTTCGCCCAAATTTTTTTTCTAGTATATATCTGTTATTTTCAAATAAGATAATGTTTTTACTGAGTAAAGTTGTTCGCACAAATTTATTTATACAGTACCGTCTAACTTTTTCGCGAAACTCGCACAAGTGCATATACCGGAAGGGAAATGGCGCCCTAGACCGCGTGCGAGGGAGGAAAATTAAAATGATCAGCATGTCACGAACGTGGGACAAAGAAAAAATCTAAGTCCCCGACAGGATTCGAACCTATAACCTCCCAAACACAGGGCTATTCGATTTTTATTCTGTCGATCGCCGCCGCCCTCTTGCTTCGCTATCGCTGTTACCCGAGGCGCTATTTAGAAGTATCCCTAATAAAAGTGATTATGATTACAAACTGCTCATCAGTATAGTGTTAAAGATTTGAGGCCAATAGAATACAGTCAGTAAACCCTCAAACAAGGCCATCTTGAACTAGCAGCCAGCAGATCGGCATCAGAAAGGATTGAGAAAAAAACCTTAACAAAAAAACTTCGGAAAGTAGACTGACAATTTCATATATTTATTTTTTTCAGGATATCTTTACTACAGACATGTCATGTCTAGAGTTTTATTTATCTGGGTAATAATGTCACTCGAGGTATTTATAATCCCCCCAAAGCGACTTAAGTCCATTATCTGAGGAATACTGATAAGCCATGAAAATACGTACGGCGAATGCATTTCGCGCAGATTGACCCAATGGAGATAATTTGCTTGGAGTTGTTATACATTTATTCTTTTTTTGGTTCTATGATTTGTTTGATTTTTTGTTGTTGTCCGTAATGTTTACTTAGATTTTAAAAGCACACTATTTTATAATAAAAATGATAATAATGATGATGACCAAATCATCAGATTAGAGCGGTTTTCATTTGAGTGTCGAAAAGTAATTGGTTTTGCACTTTCTACGCGATGCGATTGGCTTAAAAGATTCGCGCCACCTTTTCATCCAATCAGAAGTAAAACCAAAGCCAATTGTGACGCGCTTGCATGCATTTTCCCGCGCTTTGCGTCAGCCACATGTAATTACTTCGAGTTTTGATTGGTTCAATGTATTGTCTGTGTCCTATGTGATTGGCCAGAGTAATTACTTTGGTTTTGGTTTTACGACACTCAAACGAAAACCACTCTAAGGTCAGTGATGTATATAGTGGCAAAGCAGAATCCTACGTTTCTTCTTAGACTGCGTTTATTAATTTCTACTATAAAATTACAGGGTTTCTACAACCGATAGTCACCATTATCAAGCGTGAATTTTAAGAAAACACATTTGTGTTTATACAGAAGATCGAAAGGACTTAAGGATGTGAAAATTTTTTTTTAAAATTGTTAGTACAACTACCGTATTCTTAATTTATTTTCAACTTGATAATCGTAACCTCGACTTTTTAAAAATTACACTTGCTGATGACGACTATTATGGATAAATCTTTCTTATTTTCTGAACTTGTTGACCAAGGTTTCCACAAAGCAGCTGCAACCACACCAGGCATTTATGATTTAGCTGGATATTAAACATATCACATCTTCACTTTTCAGTTAGCAAATCTAAATTGCAGTTATATTGCTGGATACTGAGACAATGAAAAGGAATTAAAATAATACATGTTTCAGTGCAAACCCAGCAAGTTTAAATAAAACGCATGGCTTTTTATGTTCAGGAGATGCGTGTTGCAATCATCGGGTAGCCAGGGACTTTAAATCCTGTCGAATAACCTTCATTATTGAATGGGGAAAAGTAAAAATCCTGATACGTTCCTAATCGTTCTCCAAAGCAAGTAGCAGATGATTTTGCAAATTGTGCTTGAAACAGAAACTCAAGGCCAATATAACGGACCTCGAACTGTCCACCAGAGTAAAACACCACAAGTCCGTCCTCTTTGGCTACAACTTCAGCCAATGATGTAGTGACTTTTAACGTGATCGCATCGGTTTCATTCAAACTGTAGTTTCCAACGTAAGGCTTTGGGTCAACAGGAAATCTAGACGAACCTTGTAAGCCAAAAAGTGTCTGGTTTAACGCCGGGAGAAGTATCTTGTAAAAAACATTTAAGTTCGTTGTTGCTCCTCCTGGGATAAAGGAGGAAGTACTGACAAGGATATTCATGCCTAGCTGTAATTCTGGAACCACTGAGGTTGTCACGGAGTACGAATCAATGGCGCCGCCTTTCTTCCGAACGAGATTTTGCTCGATGAAGGTCATTTCCCAGGGAGCTCCCCATAAGGTGACCCCATCGGGGGCGATGTTCATGGGGTACATCATCTCTCGGAGACTCGACGGTCGGAAAAGGTTTTGCTTGTTTGGCTGACTGAACATCATTCCAAGCTTTGTCAAGTCCTCGAGTGTGGAGTACATCTGCCCGGCAGGTGCGACCCAGTCAACTATCATAAAAGGCATCCTTTTCCCTTTATCGTCGTGCGGAAAGGCCATGTTTTGTTGCACTTGTTCTGTGACGTCGAAACCGGTATTGGTCATGTTAAGGGGCCTTAAGATGCGTCCAATCACCCAGCTTTCGAAAGTTTGGTTTTTTAAGAGTTTCTCTGTCAGCAACCTTCCAAGCAAAGAGTATCCAAGGTTACTATAAGACGGCATGACTCCTGGAGTCATCACCAAGCTTCGATTAGCAAGCTGTTTTATCACCTGCTGGGAGGTGACATTAGCACAAACATAAAAGCATGGAGCCTCTCGAGGAAGCCCAGACATCTGGCTCGCGATCTGCCTAATTGTGATATTTTTCATGGTGTATGGATTTTGAATGTAAAATTCAGGAACATATTTGGTCAGTGGATCGTCAAGCGAGTCGATTAAACCTTCCTCGTAGAACTTGTACACCATCAGGACCACGAAGACCTTGGTAACGCTTCCAATTCGATAAACGGTCCTGTCGTCTGGTTTATTTTTCCTCTTGTATTCCTTGCTTCCATAATGTCCAGTCCAAAGAGTGCGGTTCTGATAAAAAACGCTGACTGATATCGCAGGAAGCTGTACGGTTGAGTTGACAGCGTTGTTGACAAGTTCACCAATTCTTGAGAGCGCCTTGGATAACGGTTCAGGGATGGTTTCTGGCAAAGCAATAAGGCTCGGCAGACGAGGGCAAGGTCGCCAATAGGTCGGTTGCTCTTGTTTAGTTCCAGATTCTTTTCCACCGTTTTGGTTGACTGTATTGTGAGTCTTGACATTGCATTGTGTGTCATCCTTTGAGACCTGCCAAATGAGCAATGCTGTCACAACAATGGCTACTATGCATGCAATTGCAGTGACTATTTGCCATTTCCTTAGTGTTCTGTTATTTGTGAACTGGATCGACTCAATCACAAGATTTTCCACGCTCGCCATGGAGACGATAAATCAGTTTCCAGACTGGAGCAGCGCGTATAATGCTGGACTGAAGTGTAGCGTGACTATTTCCTATCGCTTGCACCAATAATGTTAACTGCTCAGACTTCTATGTTGTAGTTCGATACGGCTTGCGAAATCCGTATAATCGTGCGCACGTCATAAAGATATTAAACCCAAGCATAAGCTTCGAGTGTTCATAGGAGTGCGACAGGACTGAATCGATGTACACCTGTGTGTCACGTATAAATGCTAACGAGTTCGAGTGTAATCGGTATGACAATGCAAAGTCAACTGTATTCTAATAGCTTGGTGTCATCGTCGCTAATGACGCCATGCGCCATCGCCGTCCTTTCCTGATTGAAGCGAACATGCGATCTACCACTTACAGATATTTAAAACCTTTATAATAACTTCTCGTCACCTAATAAAAAGTTACGATCCTATTAATGATTACAGCGCTTCATTATCAATATTCCACTTACAAATTAACTTCTCAAATTGTTTACTTTGCTGCAGGGGCTTTGAAAAAATTTGAATAAAGTATTGGCGAGACTCGACCCAGCTGCCAGGTAGCGAAAATAAATATTCTTGTTTTGTCGCAAAAAGAGCAAAAGAAATTAAAATTGCTGGAAAAAATATAATAATTGCAGTGCTTTCACAAATTTTAATTTAATTTCTACTTTTATTCATTTTGTTCCTATAATGGAAAGTTAGATCCCTCTGCACAGCGTATTTTGCAACATACTGCTCTAACCACCAACGATAGCACAACTAGTGCGTTAGGTAAAGCAGCTTATGTTGTGACAAAAAACATGCCCATGTTATTTTTTTTTTAAATCACTCATTAGTAATTAGTTTGTTATTCGAGCACTGCGCGTAAGCACGATTCTTAGAAGTCTTTAATTGAATGCAGCTAACCTTGGGTTTTTCTGCTGCATCCAATATCTTAACATCGTGAAGTCAGCAATACAATTAAAACGATCGGTTTATTGCACACAAGGCCCCATCTGCTCTATTTTGAGATTTGAATTAAGGAATATCCATCTTTTTACGCTGTGGCCGAGATGGCCAGTAACTGGTCAAGGTTTTCAAAACACTAACTGACCGGCAGTCTTGTCTCAGCGGCACCCAACGAGAATATAGTTCCAACCCACTTAAACATAGCATTGTTGAACGTATTTTAGTATTTAAACGGCAGATATAGGTATATTTTTATCCCCTAAAAATTTTACATCTGTTCAGATTTCCTAGCTGAAAGTCTAGCTATCCGAAAATTGTAGGGATCAAAACTTACCTTTTCGAAAATTTCAGCCAGAAAAAAGGCTCCCGAAAATTCTAGGTGACCTTTTTAGGGTAAAAATCCGTTAAAAATGGGCAATTATACCATTTGGGGG